CAGAAGTGCAAAGAAATCCAGCAGATGGGTGAGATATAGCATTTCATCTTTCTAACAGTGCTTGATGTCAGTCTTTTGAGATATAATGAAATATTAAGCCCAAAATAAGTGATTATTGGCCACCGTTGTCAAAAATAACACCTAAAATACACCACAGTAAAGGTCTTTGGTCAGATAGGCCATAGTCTTGGACTGAATTGCCAAAAACCCTGCACTTACTGTAATAAAAGTAAATGTCCTTATTATCCCGGTGTAATCAGATAAGTGTTTTTTCTAACCTTACTCGTGCGTCTTGATGATGTTTCCCCCGCAGACTGCTCCGGGAGGAAGCCTCTGGAAGGCCCTCTGAAGGCGGAGCTGGAGGAGGCGCTGGCCCTGGCCGAGCGGTTCACTCAGCAGTACAACCTCCTCCTGAAAAGGTTCGAGGAGAAGATGCTCAACACCTCCTCCATCCTCGACATGCTCAACAGAGAGTTCGGCTGGGTGTCCTCTCTGGCCAACGTCACCGACGTCTTCCAGGTTCAGACGGTACGACATACACCTGTGGCAAAACTCCATATGTGTGATGAAGTCTCTCCTCAATCAACAATATATGACATTTCTAAAAAGCTGCTACAGAAAATGTATAAAGAGATGTCATTCATTTTAGCAGGGAAATCTGAAAACATGATATCTTAAGATGACAATTATTGTATTTGAATGTTTTTGTGTGGTTAATTCAGGAGCTTTTAAGTGTTTTTGCATGACAGCTTTCTCTGTTGGTTGGCATTAAAGAGGGCCTATTGGGCTTTTCCCTTTCCGGTAGTGTGTTAAGGTTTGATCTCTATCTCATTATAACCATTTCTACTTCAATACCTTTCCACTGCGAACACTTCTTTATCGATTCATTGCTGTCCTTATTTCACCCAGTGGATTTGATCCTCTTACCTTTCCCTGCAGGTGACGGGCAGTGACGCTGAAGAGAAGCCCGGCGAGGAGCAGAAGCCGGCAGAAACGAGCGTGTCCGTGCAGCTCTTCGACGCTCCGGCCATGAACGTCAGCGTGCCGGGGGACATTCCCTGGAGCGACCCCAAATTCTCCGAGGTCGTGGCCCAGGAGGCTCTGGACCGCTACAGGGAGAGCAGCATGTGAGTGTCCAGCACATGTAGTGTATAATATCCAAAAACGACATTTCTTTAAGCATGTGTGTTTCCTTGTTACTTGTTCATGTTCTTGTCCATTGCACTGCCACATAAACCCAAGGTTACCGACCATATCGTTTGTAGAGCGGCTAGAATTTCAAATGTCCTACATAATGGAAACGACCACAGAGTACTGTAGGAGCCATTTCCTTAGTTTATATTAATTTATCATTTTAGAGTAGATTTATAGCATGAGATTGTGTGGTGTGTATTATTTATTTAATTTGAGTGTGTTATTCCTGCAGGTCGGGTTTTGCAGCATAAAAGGAGAGGTGCTGCCCCATGACTTTGATAACTATAGTTTTTCCATGTTGATAGACTTACTGTTTTTACACCACAATATCTAACGCATACTAGTTCTCCCTGCGCTACCTTTACCTATTTAAATTATTTGACCATTTTGATTTAATTGTTTTTGATGAAAAGCTTAATCTCGTTATCTCTTTCAGCTAATTATCTTAATTATTTTGTTTCCAAAGACAAAAAAAACATTAACACTGACCAACAACATTTAAAAAAGAGTTCTTGTCCTCAATTCCTGATTACTCTCTGACTTTATTCAGCATGGGAATGAATGAAAAGCATGTCATTAAAATGAACAAATGGGCAAATATAGGACGATATGATAATAAAAAAGAGTCACAGACGATCTCTAATCTCCTTCTTTGTTTTTCAACAGTATGGTGAAATAAAGTCCCAAACCTGCGCTGTCTGCTGACAGGAGAATGTTCTGGACTCATCACCAGAAACCCTGCAGATAAACACACCTGGGAAATAAACCTGAATCCACCGCACTGACTCTGTTGTAAATCCTCTCTAAGTCCTGCTTTAGCCAACGACTCAGTTTAACCTCGGAGATGTATATTGTACCCTTAGAGCTCTTTGTCCTGCTGTCAGAGAAGATATTCAGTCGATGTAGACAACAACAACAGGCTGTATATCATGTGAGCTTGGCTTTGCAAAAAAGGGGCTTTTTCTGCTTGAGTTTCAGTTTAAAGAAATCTGCACTCAGCTTTTCTTATATATAAAGATGAATTAACTGATATTTCCTCCAATCACATTTCAGTAAAACAAGGATTGGTTTGTTGCTAATATTTGTAGAAGATGTTAAGTAAGTTTAGAGTGAGTTCAAGTTGTGTCAGTGACTTTATTTACCCGATGCACCGTCCTACAGATCTCTGACAGCTGCTGTCGGAGTTGGTGGAAGTGGTTCATTCTCTGGAGCTAAACTCACTGATTAGAGTTTGTGTTCGTGATTGCTTTAAGTCCCTCTGTCCAACAGCCCCGCAAAGAAGGATACAATAGAGATGTAATAAACCTGCTCAAACCCAATCAGTGTTGTTGTGTTTCTTTGGACAGCTTGACACCCTTTGTCAAACAGAGATGTTCTCATTAATGGAACCAAAATGCATCCATCTTGCTGACATGGAAAACGTCAACAATATAACTTCTTTATCAAACTTCTTCTAGCTTATACATACCTTAAAGTTGGTGCACAGAAACAGGGGAACAAACACACACACATGCTGAGACACATTTTATGTTGACTTTTGAAAGCAAGATGTTTTCCACTCTTTCTTTTGCATTATAGATTTGATATGGTTTTTAAAAAACAAATATCTCATCAGACCTTTGTGTGACGCCACTCCAAAATGATCTCAGGTAAATCCTGTTTGCTCTGATTATCCTGAGATTTCTCTAGAACTTGTTGAAGAGTAATGGGTCAGGTTTAAATCAACGATTTGCAAATGCATACTTCTCTGTCCTCGCATCCACATGACCACATCGTTTGCTTTTTTTCACTGCAGAATTGAGTTCTTCCCTAATCTGGTTTGGTTTAAATTCGAGCAATTTCAAAAGGATTTATTCTGTTATATTATATTATATAGATAGGAGGTTTAATAGTAATTGCTTCTGGAAATATGAAAGGTTTTCCACAAAAACATTAAAACAAATGAAACCAAACTTACAAAATGAAATGAGAACAAATGATTATTTCTGGATTTTCTCCAATGTACCTTTACATAATATTACATATCCATGATTGAAACAACAACCAACTTTTAAGGGAAAAGTCAAGAAATTAACTCAAAACCGCTTTTATTTGTTTTACTTCCTGTGACCTTTCAATAAGTGCAAAAGACACAATTGCATGGAGTTAATTTTAAAGTGTAAAACATCCTAAAAAAGTTCTCATTTTGGCAAAATGTGTGTATTCATATCATTCCTTAAGGCGAGACACCCCGGGTGAATAGGGTAATTTTTTTTAACTTAAAGGTATCAGCTAGAAATTTCTCCAGTTAATTACTTACAGTAAGGCAATTGTCTTTTGTATTACAAGTTTTCTGAAATAGCATGTTTAAATATGCAAATTATCCATTATCTCATTAAATATGCACATATTTTAACACATTTCAGGAATCGAAATCTGAACTTTGGATATAGCCAGATTCAAAATTCTTGTTTCATTTTGTAGTCATATTAGTATCTAAGGCTTTTACAGAAGGGATATTGGATATCTCTTTTTATCATTCCATAAATCAGAAAATACTGTCAACAGCCCTAAAATATCCATTTTCGCCATGTTTTTAGGTATACAATGTTGTATAATTCAGGCTATGAATTATATATGAACAAACCCTTCTGTAAAAGCCTTCATAATATTGATAGGAATATAACTGGAAGGTTTGGTGTATGTACGTACTACTGAAGTTGACATTTCGAACTCAGAGTAGGAGAAAAAACTCATTTTGAGAAAACGACCTTTAAAGATTGCAGTGAGGCGCTAGCTAAACCCTCCTGTTCTTTAGATGACAGCTTGCGCCTCGACGCACTCCGTGAAGGTATTTCATGTTCAGGGTCATTTTTTTTTTTATAACCTTGCTTCGTGCAAGTGACAATTGTTGTCGTCTTCTCTGTGAACGTTTTTTTCGCTGTTCTTTTGGCATTTTGAGATTTCAATTTCTAGCTGAAAGCTAACCAGGAAGTGTTTTAGCACACCACGTGACGCATCTGAACGAATCACGTTGTCAGATATTTACACCAGCCAATGAGATTTCGTTTCTTGGTTTAAGACCCCTTTGTGCTTTCACGATTGGTTGCTGATACAAAGGAAATGACCATATTTGGATCCGATGAGATTGTGCAGGAGAGACGGAGCTTTCCAGCGATACCTCTGTTGACATGGTGCACACAGCGGTCGCGGTACTTTATGTTACGTTAGAATGCTAACTTTTGGTGAATTTAGGAGAAATCTACAGACGCAAATAGACAAACTATAGTAAAATAAACACTTAAATGTGTATTTTGTACGTTTTCCTTCCAAAAGCCTGAAAGAAAACATGTTATGGAATCAAAATAGCACAAAATCTCAAAATTGACCCGTACTTGAAAAACGATGTTTTTGCCTGCCGTGTCTCGCCTTAAAGGTAGGGTAGGTAAAGAATGGAGAAACCAGCTCGAGTGAGCTAGAATTTGAAAGTACGCAGCCGAAGAAAAATCTGCCCCCTCCTCCAACACACACGAACGCGCACATGACCAATGAGGGCACGAGATAAGTTTGTGCACAGATGGAAGGCTGACAGGCAGGTAGGCCATCCAGTTATTTTAGCCGGGCCGGCTCAGACGATTGGTCGTGCTTTTTACAGCGCCACGGCTTCCACAGATGACATTTGTGTATGTATTTATTGTCAAAGCACTTAATATATTCATTGCTATCGGGATGTTAAGAGCATTCCATGGAATATAACAAAGTGTTTCTGAAGTGAATTACCTACCCCACCTTTAATTTCTCATTAAAGCCAAACAACAAAGGAGAGCAGCGTTTAAAATATTGTGCCGTTTTTATTTTTGTGTAAAAATCACACAGCTGCTAGTTGACTCTGCAGAGATACAGTACATCCATGCAGTTAAACATCTAGGATCCCACAGCCAAGAGAGAAGGAATTAAATAGAATATTCTTTCGCTGTTAGTCAGCAATTAATGCAAATGTACATATGAATCCAAAAGTGTGTATCATATACAATATACAACACAGATCTGGGAGCAAATATAATTCAAAATCCCATTAAAGACTCAAGAGGTGATTGCTTCTGCCTGTCTGGATTGCCTTTGGGGGTTTAAAGGATGTTAGCTGTTGTGCTAGCAAACATAAATCAATCCTGCATTTTAATAGAGTTTCAAATGGTATTAGTTCCAGGTCTGGAAACTATATAACACACACACACACACACATCATCGTCCTCAACAGCAGAAAAAAGAAGGCGAGCCTTGATAGGACAAGGAGGAGAGGTCAGTCAGCCACAGAGGAAACCTGAACGCCAGTCGGGGAGTAAGGCTTTGAGAAGAACACAGATTCTTCAGACACACAGGAAGCTCCGGGGACAAAACACTTATAAAAAATAATTAACCCAACAAGACTTTTAGGGTACTGGCACAAAAACCCTTACAGTTTCCAAGGTGAAGAAATAAAACGAGTGGTTCATTATTCTTCTTCTTTTAAATACGCATGAAGGACAACATGCAAGAGTTAAAAGAAAGCAGGAAGAGGGATGTAACAAGTAAAAATACAAATAAGGAGGAGGTTTAGGTTCAAAGTGCAGTTGGGTCATTCAGGTCTCCTTTTCTGTCGACTGGTCTCCGTCTGTAGTAAGCTTCGTCTACACCCAGCCATGGTCACATCTCGCACATGTAGGGTGAACGTGCCCTGATAAAACACTGATCTGGACTTCCCTCTGGAGCCGGGGGAGAGGGGAAGCTCCAGAGGGAAAGAAAAAAGGCCGATTGAATCACAAACGTACAGTAAATGGTGTTCTGGAAGATCTACGATACAAAAACCAGAGTATACTGCTCACACAGTTGCTACTATCATAGTACAAACAGCTAAGTATAGTTGTGAGGATGTATCGCCCGTACTTGCATAGTGCCGCCTGCCCGATTAGAAAACCGCTGAGTTTTTAAATCTGTAACTCTAGATCTGTGCATGCGTGTTTGTTTGCCGATCACAAGAAAAAAATATTCATACATTTAGCCCCCTGCAGTCAAGCAGCTGGAAAATCTTCATACCGTTCGAGTGAATATCTGTTTTGAACTGGTTTCCCATCCATGTGAAAGAAAAAGACGGTAAAAAGCAACTGAAATGTTTAAAAAAGAAAGCCGAGATGTTTACACACAAGAGAAACCAGAAGGAAAGATGGTTGCATTTCTGTTTTTAAAAACACAGCCCAGACAGAGGCAAGAGAGCAGAGTTCAGTCATTTGGCATAAAGTTTAAACCATTCAGTCACATCAAACCCAACACTGTGTAACATGTGACACACACACACACTTCAAGGGGGCAGTAAGAAGAGGGAGGGGCTGAATTAATGTCACAGGATGCGTCAAACTAAAACAAAAAAAGCCTTCACCATAATGATTTAGCCGTGTAAGGCCTCACACAAACACACACACAAAGTCCTGTTCAGAAGAAGCACAGTATGTTTTAATGGAGACAGACCTCACCAAACTCCTGGTGTAGATGTTTTGAAAGCCTTAAAGCTAGCCTTTGCTAAGCTAAGCTAATCACAGACTCCATTTAAATGATATGGATCTTCTCTAACAAAAAAAATAGTGAAGAAGTATTACTCAAAAACACGACACTGCTCTTTAAAATGTGCCTGATTTTAAAAGGAGTTTGGTGTGGTAGAGTCCGTACCCCAAGACAGAATAAACACATTGGTGCTAGCTTCAAGTAATCACTAAACAGGAACACAGCCACACACAGTCACTCTCACACACCTTTCTTCTTCAGTCATTCACAAAGTGATCAGACACCAGCAGTTTTGTCTTCAGACGGCACTCGCAGTTTTGTCCGCCACTCATGTCTCAGTCGTCCTCACTTTCTTTTGAGAAAAATTGAAAAGTGCCAGTTTGTGTAAATCCCCCCCCCCCGACGCTCCTGTCACTTCCTCCTCCGCCTGTTGGAGGATCTGTGCTCTCAGTTGCTTCTGGTTTATGATTAATGTGTGTGTGATGGAGCGTAGGAGATTTAACTGAGCACCCTGCAACCGGCCGGAGCCTCCAGGGAAAGCTGAGATGGTGGGAGGAGGAAGAGGAGGAGGAGGAGGGGGGGGGGGAGGGTGGAGGGGGGGGGGGGGGGGGGGGGGAGTCACACCGAGGGGCACAGCCTCGCTTCAGATGAACTACAGCAGAGTTTTCCTCCTCACGTTGGTTAAAGATGAGAGAACGGTCTGAGCTGCTCCAGCTGCACTTCCAGGGATATCCTCTCTTCAAGCAGGTCCTGGAGAATGAGAGGAAGTTAGGAGTGATTTCTTTTCCAGCCTGAAAGAATCATATTGTTATTTATTTTTGATTGTGCGTACCTTCAGCTGTTGCTGCAGTTCACTGTTAAGTCGTGCTAACACTGTGTTCGTCTCCTTGTTTCTTCTGATAGAAGCTTGAATCGACTTTTTGTCTTTTCCAACTGACCTGAAATCACAAATACACATACTTTTGGATTAAAAAGACAATTTAGTCAAGGCAAGTTTATTTATATAGCACCTTTCAACACAAGGCAATTCAAAGTGCTTTACAAAAATGAAAGACATTAATATTATAAAATGGCATTTAAAACACAAAGATAATAGAACATGAATAACAAAAGGTACATGAATTAAAGTTACAGTGCAGTGTGAGATACACACATCTTTGACCTCACTTTCTTTCTACTTTTTTTTTTTTAACGTATCCTTTAGTTCAGGGGAGTCAAACTCAAACACACTGGGCCAAAATAAAAAAATGGGTGCTAATGGAGGGCCGGACTGGTTCAATGTTTATTGCAGAACTTATTGAAATGAACTTATTGCACATATTAAACCTGGAACTAACAAAGCTTAAATGATTGCCTATAAAAACAACATTAAACATTAAATAATCAGTTGCATTCATTTCTAATGATTACATTTTCCCACAGGCCAACAACAGCTTCAAAAAAACTATTCCCCTCAAAGAGAAAACCAAACATGCTCTGTTGTCTCAAGAAAGAAAGTGCAGAAGGAAACATCCATGTAGACTCAGTGTGCTGCTCTGTGATGCTAGTTCAGATACTTGGCGTCTCATCTCGGGTGCAAGGTCATCAATGTTTGGGCTCAGGCTCTGAGCTGAGGAAACCCTCAGGATGGAGTGAAGGTGTGCGTGCAATATACCGGCGGGCCAGATCTAATAGTAATTAGAAATGATCCTGCGGGCCGAAATTAAATCCACCACGGGCCTGATTTGGCCCCCGGGCCTCGAGTTTGACACATGTGATTTAGTTATTTCAAGTGTTTCATGCTAAACGAACCCCCCTTTTGAAAATGCTAACCTTAACTTACGTTTACCAAGTCCTTCCAAAGCTCTTGTTCACAGACTAACTGAATGTCCTACCTGGGGATGGAGGGCTGAGTGGCCAGGACGGCAGCGATGACGTTCGATTTCTGCGGACCGGGTGCCTCGTCCTCCGGTCGCAGCTCGTCTTCAGATTTCAACCTCCGGCGCACAGGTTTGGGAGGCGGGCCTAACGGACCAGACCCGGAACATTTGGCCTGACGAGGAAACAAAAGTAAATGATATATTGAATATCTTTGGTTTAATGATATTTAATGGTTGATAAGTATTGTTGTAAGTAGTTGATAATATATTCAGTTCATATTTAATAGAAGAATATGTTGACTTACAGAGCTGACAGTGGCTGGGACTCTCTCATCTACTTGGCCGTCACTCTTCACGGTTCTTAAAGGGCCGGCGCCCTCTGAAGGCTTCTCCACCTGTAGACACAGAAAAGCATCAGATGGTACACTCTGAAACGAACACAGACAATGGGAAACACTATGGGTGTCAACTTTAAAATGATGCGTCTAATTTTTCCCACACATGCAAGGGATTGTGCGACAATTACAAAAAGAACAGTCACAATGTAATTAAAAATATATACTCAGACAAGTTAGAAAAGGGTAATCATTTTGGACATTCATCAAATGTATTTTCTTCTTAAGACAACTATACCCCAGCTAGTTTGTTGTTAGTGCAATTTGTATGTACATTGTTGTGAAACTCTGAATGTAATTTTCAATAAAACAGCAGATGTCAATTTCACTTTAGGGTTTAATAAGGGGTGGACACTGGACACACTCACTCACACACTCACACACACTACCTGTCCTGGCTCACTGTGGATATCGTCCTCCGGCAGGCTGGAAGGCTGGTCAGTCGCAGCGAAGGCCTGAAACTGACTGAAGTCGGCGAAATTGGGCTGCTGGGGAATCTGTTGGGGGGAGGTGGAGGCGGTGAGCGCCGCAGGGCCGCCTGGAACAACCTCAGCCTCCGAACGATGCCCGGTGTGTGGTGCTGACGACTGAAAAGAGGGAGGGGAGGGGTGAAGGCCTTCATGAGTAAAATCACACTTGATACAGGAGTTTTTTCTTTCAAGTAATTCAATAAAATGCAATAAACTGCACCCTATGCAGACGAGTTACAGGGTACATAGGATAAGTAGACAGATCACAAAACAATTTATATAATCTTTTTTAATTGATTTTGATAATGCGATGTTTTTCTGTCCAAATCAAATCAAAATGTATTATAGCCCCAAATCACAAGAAATGACAAAAACTAAATACAAACGTCATAGCATTAAGATTATAAAAACATTACACATCAACATAAGTATTGCCATGTGATAAAATAATGTGACTGAAGGGATGGTAATGTTGAACGGAAACTAGGTGATGGAAATTAGTTTACAAGGGAGACCGATGCGAAGAGCTGGGTTTTGAATTTGCATCATTGAGTGTTTCGGTCCCCCTCACCTGTGTGGGGAGGGGTCTCGGAGGCACAGCGGGCGGGTAAGTTATGGCTAAAGATGGCGGTTGTCCTGCAGCGGTTACGGTGGCGAAGGTGCGATTCATGTCGAGAGACGAGGAGCGAGAGTGAGAGGGGTGCGGGCGGGGGGGCGGCGGAGGGGGGGCTACCACCTTCAGAGTTTCTGGAGACGTCCCCGACAGAGACCTGGACACAAATATGTTTCTTTAATTAAAAGGTTATTGTCATATGCTCAGAGCTACAGTGTAGGAATGGCAGTGACATTCTTCTGACCTGAGCTCCAACAATGCAACGTATATAATCAAATACAAAATCAAAAGTAGTGCAAAAAGTCTTTATACATAATGTCACAGAATATGACGTTAAATAATGTAAATTAAATACGGTTTATAGCGTTATAACTATTTATATATATATTAGTATATTGCAAGATGAATGTTTATCGGGGCAAGATATGAACAAATTCTCCCTAATCGGTTTACAATGAGATTGATCAGAGCAGATTGGAAAAATAATAACAGGAACAGATGCTTGGATACATGACACAAAGACATGTCAATAAATCAATACTGACCTTTGTCTTGTGATTGGCTCCTGGTCCGAGGTGTAGGAGTCTGAACTGCTGTAGCCATCACCTTTAAAAAGACATCAAAACAAAACATCAGCACGTGAAGACATTTTATTCCAGTTAGTTACAACCTCAATGTGATTGATGACTTGGATATAATGCAAAAGCATGTCAGGCTGAATGGTCTGTAGTGCAGTTGCATTGTGGGTAATGTAGGCACCAGGTTTTGACAAGGAAGAATGTGGGCAAAAAACAAATGTTGCATTGATTTGTATTTTATTTTTTTGCCACAAAACGACCAATTGGTTATTTTTTCAACATCTCCCTGGCACAGCAGCCCATCCTTTACTCACCGACAGCGTTGGCCGCTACAAACATGGATGTCGATAGACTGGCTTCCTCGGACAGCTCTGGAGGTTGAGACAGCAGCGGACTGGTCGGGTGGTTGTGGTCTGAGGGTTTAAGATAAAACAAATGTTGAGTTAGCTCTACGGGGTGAAGACCATCTCATTTTATCACTAAATATCTTCAGGAACAGCTTCGGAAACATGACCACGGAATATTTCCACTGTACGTTTATGAATTAAATCCAGCGTGATTATGTTTAATGACGCCAAGTACTGTTTACTCAAAACAAAGAGCAGCCTCTTGGTTTCTTACTACCTGATTCACATCGTAGGGGTCGGCAAAGTCGGGAAGAGCCCGACACTCGTGAACTGTCAAGCAGTGTGTGGACCTTTTTCACCTGTCAGCGCAACATACATGATGCCATTTAAACACATTTAAATAATTGGTTTAACCGGCATAATAATAAGGACGACCGTCCGTTCTGTGATTCTCCAGAACACACCGATGGCCAGTCCGCCCCTATGTAGCATATTATTGTTATTGAGAGATGAGCAGATCGCCACTGGGCTTTCAACTAAAGACACAGCCACGCAAAAACTGTGGCATTTGTACAGCTCCTTATGGGTACTGCAATTAGTGAAGTGCTTTCCTCCGTGGTGAAACGATCAGCACTGCACCACGGAGGAAAGCGGCAGAAAGTCGCCTGGAGTTAAAGAGAGGGGGGCTGCGTTGCGTGCATGGCTTCCTTCTGCAGGTAACGGGGAGACGCGCTCTGACAGTGGTCTCGTTCAGGATCCGAAAATAAAATGTAAATATTTTTGCACACTTATTCCTAGTGTGCCACTGGTTACAGTGCAGCGTGCCAATGGTGGGTTGCCGACCCCTGATGTACTCTTACTAAACGTATCATCAAGATGTTATGACACAAATCCTGAGGAAGCCATTCAAATCTGTATGTTTCTCAAAACACGTACTAGTGTTGCATATAAGCTTTAGCTCACACTCATAGATGATTCCAAGTTCTTCTGCATGCTATTCTTGTTTTATAATAAAACTGGCTTCTGCATGCTACGGAGTATTTGAGGCATTGTATTGTAATAAAAGCCGGGCAAGTAGGGTAGTTTTCTTTAAAAAACTCAAGATCTCAGAGGAATGCTGTCATTTTACAAGAAAGAGATCACAGTTGCCGTATTCGAGAAAAAACACTCTCATTTACAGATGAAAAAAAACCTATATTATTGTTTAAGATTATTAAGTCATACATTTGCAATTAAAAACCTCAGAAATTATGAGACTTGTATAAAGAAAACTTTGTAACTGTGGATAAATGAGTGTA